GCGCGCGCGTGTGTGTAAGGGTTTACAGCAGTCATACTAGTGAGACAGGTCTTTTACAGTGCTTTCATTTATCAGAAAGCAAGGAGTAATACATACAACGGTACGAATGTAGGTTCTAAAACTCAGCGCCTGGGTCTGAGTCTCAATTCTGCCACTTACCAACTGCATACCCCTGTATAATTTATTTAACCTTCTTGTCACCAGTAAAATGGGAATAACAATAAAAATCTAACTCATAGAGTTGATATTAATCTACTTACAAGATGTACCATGTAAAGTACTTAATAAAGTATCTTGTATGTAACATGTTGACAATTATAATTCCCAAAAAATGTAGGATTGCAATTATATTTTAATTAGAATAAAAACAGAGTATCTTCCCCATCTAAAACAACCCAAAAATAAGTGCTATAGAAAAGCCTATAATCTCCAAAAGGTCTTAAACATTAAATGGATTCTGTTTAGGAAACTTAAGAATTATATTGATTAGAAAAAACAATGTAATTCCCATAATGACAAAAGAATTTTAAGGATATCTATGTTTTCTAGTCAAAAAGCTAAAAAATGCAGTTGGCAACAAAATTTAAGTAAAAAAAAATACCAAAATGGTAACACTATAAAGCTACATATGAACAACTGCATCGAAGTGATAACTAAGGAACAGAAATCAAAGTGATATACAAAACAGACAAAACTACAACCACTTCGTTCCTCCTTAGTACTCAGTTCAGCCTGTAAGCTTCCAGAAACTATAAGATAAACTCAGAAGTTTACAAAGAATCAAAGAACCAAAGAACAAAGTCTAGAAAGGCCAATAAAAACTGAACTTAATAGAAACAGAAAACAAGTTCTTTGGAGTAAAAACATTATTAACCCATAGCCAAAGGAAATCAAAACCTACAAAGGTCTACGAGAATGTTAGGAATTATCACACCACCATGGAAGAATTTTTCTGAGAAAGATGCACTGTAAGAGGGATTTCTAATACCCTGCATCAAGTAACCATGTAATAAGAATGACTAGAGAAGGATTAACTTAAAAACCACGAGACTAAGGGTGCAAAGAGCTATGATCTTCAGATGTCAATAAGGATTAGACTTACTCTATATTAATCCTATGAATGAAGCTATGAACAATGAGACATTGCATAGGCAGATTTGTTCTAAATATGAGGAAGAGTCTTAATAGATGCCCAATAATGAAAAAGACTGTCCTACAGAACTTTTTACAGAAAATTAGAGCGCAATCTGTCACAGATATTTTAGAAGAAACTACAAGAATCAATTTGGCACACATGACTATTTTTTCTTTTAGAACTCAAGAGACTGTAAGGGTCAGACAGGGTGGTGAACACCTCTAACAGAGGACTGGGGAGGCTGACGGAGGAGGATCTCAACTTTGAGGCCAACCTGGACTATATAGTAAAACCCTGTCTCAAAAAGCTACCAGGCATAGTGGTGAACAACTCCAGCACTCAGAAGGCTGAAGCAGGAGGACTGCCATGACTTTGAGGCCAGGCTAGACTACTCAAAAAAAGAGAGTCAAGAAGTACCTAAGACGGGGCTGGGGATTTAGCTCAGCGGCAAAGCGCCTGCCTGGCAAGCACAAGGTC